TTTGCCATAGGACATGTGTGCTAGCCAGAGAGAGAGAGAGAGAGGGAGAGGGAGAAATTGCTCCCCCACACTCCACCCCCAGGGGATGGCCACGTTGCGATCCCTTCTCCATTTTCCTGGGATTCTGGGCACACATGCACACCTGCCTGGCGTGATTTTCAAACCACCGGGTCTGGAACTCAACTGGTTGGCCATGTGGGAATCCAGCACCTCAACCACTATGCCACCTGCTGGCTTTCAGATCTGTTTTTGGTTTTGTTGTTGGAGGTTTTTGCTTTAGGGCATGTGTGCTTGCTGGAAAGAAGGAGACAGACACAGTGAGAGGGAAATTGAAAAATCACCCCCCAGGGATTGCCACATTGCAATCCCTTCTCCATCATTCTCCACCTGTGGTCTTGGGCACGCACGCACACACGCCTGGCGTGATTTTCAAGCTACCAAATCTGGGACTTGAACTGCGGTTGGCCTTGTGGGAGTCTAGGGACATAACTACTATGCCACCTGCTGGCCTCTCAGATCTGGTTTGTTTGTTTGTTTGTTTGTTTGTTTGTTTGAGAGGTTTCCGCTATAGGGCGCGTGCGCTCGCCAGACAGAGAGAGACATAGAGACAGAAAGCGAGAAATCACCCCCCAGGGGGGATGGTCACGCTGCAATCCCTTCTCCTCCATTCTCCTCTCGGGATCCTGGGCACGCACGCACACGCGCCTGGCATGAGTTTAAGCCACCGGGTCCGGGACGTGAACCGCGGTCCACTACGTGGGAGTCCAGCGACATAGCCATTATGCTAACTGCTGATCCCTCAGATCTGTTTTTAATTCCATAAAATTATGAGCTTGTTTTCTTTTCCTTTTTTTTCTTTTTTTTGTGGTCATAGGGTGTACACACATACCGGGGAGGGAGAGAGAAGGAAGATGGCCCCAGTGGGTAGTTGTGGTCATCCCACCGTCTCTTCCCCATGTCTCTGTAGGCATTCGGGGCACGTCTGGTGTGTTTTTCAGGCTACAGGGCCAGGATTTGAATCATGGAGTAGGCTGTATTCTTGGAGGGAAGGGAGCTGGTTAAGGGATCTGGCTTCTTTAACCACTGGGCCTAAACGATGAGCTTTTAAGGGGAAGCTGAAATCCCCGTGCTGTCCTCTCGTCCCTGACCTGGCCTAGGTCTGTGCTTGGGAAGTTACGGTGTGTGAGTTTCACGCTGCAGCCTGGTCTCCACTTGATGCTGGTTGTGGGCTGGTATTCGGTTAGCACCGACAGCACAGAGCCGCAGCAAGGCAGGCAGCACCGAGGCTCCGTCTGCACGGGGGTTTGAGACAGCATGGACACTGCGTCAGAGGTGTCCATGGGCAGTCGAACGTGTGAGTCCAGAGCTCAGGTGTGGCCCGAGAGATGACCTTGGTGTCTTGGCATATGTATAGGAGAGGAGTTGACTGAGGACCCCTGCCTAGGGGAGGAGCCTGCAGATAACTGGAATGGAGGCTGGGGGCAGATGGCTACAGAAGAGGTGGCCAGCGCTGAGGGAGGCCATGAGGAACTGATGGGAACAGCACTGTCCTTACTGGGCAGGCAGGTGGGCTGACCATGGCCCAGGGGTGTGGGGACAGGGATACTGGGAGAAGAGATCAAGACCAGGAGGACCGTGCAGGATGCCCATGTACCCAGTGGGCCTGCAAAGCCAGCATCTGGTGGACCAGCAGAGGCAGGGGGACAGCTGGAACCTCTGCCTCAGGGGCCTGAGGGGTCTTGGTCGCTCAAGCCCCTGGCAGAAGCACCACCCCTCTCCACCCTGCAGCACAGCACCCTTAGTGTGGTCCAGATCAGGAGCCCCAAGACCTAGCTCAGTCCTGAGTGGAGGAGAGGGTCACAGACCACCATTCCACAGGGACACCAAAGGCCCCCATTTACCCCGGCTTTCACAGACATTGCTGTCCCCCACCAGCCCCTCCCCTTCTCCTCCTCACAGGCCTGGCCCAGCTTCCAGTCG